TCAGTGGCAACTCATTCCACAGTCGTGGACCTGCAACAGAGAAAGCCCTGTCACCTCTGAGCTTACGACGGGTTTCTGGGACTGAGAGAAGCATCTGGTCTGCTGACCTCAGAGAGCGCGGTGGGACATATGGCTGCAGAAGATCAGTGAGATAGGATGGGGCGGAACTGTTCAGTGATTTAAAAACATACATGAGAATTTTGAATTGGATCCGAAGGTGAATGGGTAGCCAGTGCAGGGACACACATGAACATCACATGAACACACCAACATTGAAACAGATCAGCAGCAACATGAAACAGATCAGCAGCAACATGAAACAGATCAGCAACAACATGAAACAGATCAGCAGCAACATGATGTGATTTTTTTCACAATGATTATTCTGGTTAGAGATTCATGAGTCTAACAGCCTCAGGGTAGACGCTGTTCCTCAGTCTAGGGGTTCTACACTTAATGCACCTCAACCTCCTTCCTGAAGGGAGTGGGGCAAAAAGTGTGTGTGCTGGGTGAGTGGGGTCCTTCATGATGCAGGTGGCCCTCTTCCTGCATCTGGAGGTGTAGATGTCTGTGATGGTGGGAAGACTGACTCCAACAGTCTTCTGTGCAGCCTTCACCACTCTCTGCAAAGCTTTTCTTTCTGCAGCTGTGCAGCCTCCATGCCACACATTGATGCTGGAGCACAGGATGCTCTCCACTGCACACCTGTAGAAGGAGGTGAGGACTGAGCTTCCCAGACCAGCTCGCCTCAGCCGTTCCAGCTGAGGTTGTCATTCATGTGTGCACCCAAGTACTTGTAGCTGGAGACCACTTCCACCGCAGATCCTCTTATGTTCATGGGGGTGTAGATGTTTTTGTTCCTTCTGAAGTCCACAATCATCTCCTTTGTTTTCTTCACATTGATGTGAAGGTTATTCTCTTTGCACCAGCTCTCCAGGTGTTCCACCTCTTGCCTGTAGCTGGACTCATCATTGTTTGTGATGCATCCCACCACCGCTGTATCATCTGCAAACTTTACAATGTGACAGCCTGGATGGGTAGCTGCACAATCATATGTGAGCAGAGTAAACAGGAGGGGGCTCAACACACATCCCTGAGGAGAGCCAGTGCTGAGGGTTATGGTGGAGGAGGAGAAGTTGTGGATCCTCACTAACTGTGGTCTGTTTGTTAAGAAGTCTAGTACCCAGTTGCAAATGGAGGGGCTTAGTCCTCATGTGAATAGTTTGTCCATCAGGGTTTGGGGGATCATGGAGGATGGATGGAAGGAGGATGTGAAGTCCACAAAGAGCATATGGACGTAGGAGTCCTGCTCCAGGTGGGTGAGAGCAGTGTGGACCACAGAGGAGATGGCATCCTCTGTTGATCGGTTTTCACAGTGTGCATACTGGTGAGGGTCCTCGTTGATGTTGATGTTAGTTTTTATGTGAGTCGTGACCAGTTTTTTTAAGCATTTAGCGACTATCGGGGTGAGGGCCACTGGCCGATAGTCATTCAGTCTGTCTCCAGGGTAAGTGAGGTGTTAAAGATGTCTGCCAGCACCTTGCAGAGCTGATCGGCACATTCTTTCAACACTTTTCCGGGGATGTTGTCTGGTTGCCTTGTGCGGATTAATCCTCCTGAAAGTACTCCTTACTTCGGCTGAGGTCACGTTGAGATGCTCTTCATCTGGTGGTGAGGTGAGTCTGGTGCTGGGTGGTCTGTTTGGGTCTTCAAAGCGTGCACAGAACTTGTTGAGGGCATCAGGCAGAGATGGGTCTTTGGGGCATTGTTCACTCCTTCCTTTATAATCTGTTATTAACTTAATGCCCCTCCACATGCTCTGAGGGTCTTATGAGATGAATTGACCCTCGATCCTCTGTGCATATGTGGCCTTGACCTTCTTAATACCAGCAACCAGCTCTTTCCTTGTCCTACTCAGCTCCTCTGAGCTTCCTAGTAGTAGTAGTAGCAGCAGCAGCAGTATCAAGCCTGGATTTTCTAGTAATCAATCAATAAATCAATCAAACTTTATTTATATGGGCCCTTCCTAATGGGAATGTAGATCAGAGGGCTTTGCACAATACAAATTAATATTAAAATATTGAATGGTTTGTGGACAGTTTCATAAAGGCTGTAGCACATAAGTTACTATTGAGGTTTAATCTGTGAAGTTAGCTTGTTCCGGGCCAGGCTAACTGCTGGGTTTGAGTAGTATACTTAGGAGTTGTCCTGAGAAAAAGTGTCTCTTCCATGTCCGTGTTTTTACCCATCATTTTTCTACTTTGCTTTCACATCAAAATACTTTAAATCTGAGTTGTTCCTACAGACTGGATGTTCTGACTAAATCCATTTTTCTTTTCTTGAACTCATTTACATTTTTCCACTGTTTACAAACTGCATCTAAAATTCAGTTTTAGTTTATTTAAGTATATTGCACCAATACACAGCAAACAATATCTCAGGTTGTGGTTTGAAGGAAACTTTTTTCTGACCCAGGTCAAATGAAGCTGAACTGCTTTGTAATTTTTGTTGTATTAGTTTATTAAAAACATTTTGAAAACATCAGCAGTTTATGAACAATAAATCAAATTTAAAGCATGTATTGACTGTCACTGCCTTGTATGTCTGCAGATGCTTTGAGGTCTTCAAAGTAATCCATAAACTGGTGAACACAGAGGAGGACATCCTGATGGTGAGGAAGAGCTCTCTGTCAAATGTTGTGTTTTACAAATCTTTTTTCAGAGTCCCACTTTGAAAACAGATTTAATATGTATTTATTATTTTCTTTACAAGGTGGCTACAGATGTTATCAGGGAGTTTGCAGCTGATGGTGTCAAGTATTTAGAGCTCAGAAGCACGCCAAGAGAAGAAAAAGACACAAGTAAGAATGTTGGCAAGGAGTCGGATATTTAAATGGGGTTGTCGTCTCTCTGCATCGTTCCACCGATCGATTCTGCTTTATGATTTTTATTTTCAGGATTAACAAAACAGAGTTATGTTGAGACTGTCATCAAAGCCATCCAGAGGTGTAAAAATGAAGGGTTGGACATTGATGTCAGGTAGGCAGACTGAGTCCAGCTGCTCTACTTTTCTTTACGGCACTGAAGCTTTATTCAACAGTGTTGTCTGACTAGATTTAGTTTATTTTAAAAGGTTTCTGGTGGCCATTGACCGCAGAAATGGGACGGAGGTTGCCATGGAGACAGTGAAACTGGCTGAAGAGTTTATGCTGTCATCTGGTGGTCTGGTGGTGGGAATCGACCTTAGTGGAGATCCAATGGTCTGTAAAATATTTTGGTGGAAAATTCCAATATTTCAGTAGACAATGAGATAAACTGGAGTACTGCAGTGACTGGGTTTTACCAGAGTATCTTTCCAGGGATTCAGTATTTTCAATAATAATTTTGTGCATTTCTTCATTTAGACTGAATGGAAATCGCTTTTTTAAACATTTCCTTAAAATTATATTTTTGCTGACATGCAATACGTTGAGGTTGTGTGATGGTGTAAAGTTTTTCTGTAAGACTGGTTATACACTGCCTGGCAAAAAAAAGTTGTCACCCAAAAAAAGTTCACACACTAATATTTTGTTGGACTGTCTTTAGCTTTGATTACATCATACATTCACTGTGGCATTGTTTCAATAAACTTCTACAATGTCACAAGATCTATTTCCATCCAGTGTTGCATCAATTTTTCACCAAGATCTTACATTGATGACTAGACACTAGTCATGATGGGTGCATCACTTCACCTGCCTCTCTTCTTACCCTGATGCCTCCATCACTCTGGAACAGGGTAAATCTGGACTCATCAGACCACATGACCTTCTTCCATTGCTCCAGAGTCCAATCTTTATGCTCCCTAGCAAATTGAAGCCATTTTTTCCAGTTAGCCTCACTGATTAGTGGTTTTCTTAAGGGTACACAACTGTTCAGTCCTAATCCTTTGAGTTCCCTTCGCACTGTGCACATGGAAATGTTCTTACGTTCACTATTAAACACAGCCCTGAGTGCTACTGTTGTTCTTCTTCTATTTGATTTCACCAAATGTTTAAGTGATTGTCAATCACGATCATTCAGGATTATTTTCCGGCCACATTTCTTCCTCAAAGACGTTGGGTCCCCTCTATCCTTCCAGTTTTTAATAATGCGTTGGACAGTTCTTAACACAATTTTAGTAGTTTCTTCAATCTCCTTAGATGTTTTCTCTGCTTGATGCCAATGATTTGACCCTTCTCAAACAGACTGACATCTTTTCCACGACCACGCAATGCGTCTTTCAACATGGTTGTTTAAGAAATGAGAAGCAACTCATTGCACCATCCATCATCTTTACCCGCTTCTTCCTTTTTGGGTCATTGGTGCCCATATCCAGCTGTCATTGTGCGAGAGGCGGGGGTCACCCTGGACAGGTCTCCAGTTTATCGCAGGAACACGAGACAAACAATCATTCACTCTCTCGCTCACACCTAGAGACAATCCAGAGTTACCAATCAGCCTAACATGCATGTTTTTGGTCTGTGGGAGGAAACTGGAGTACCCGGAGAAAACCCACACATGCACGGAGAGAACATGCAAACTCCACCCAGAAAGGCCCCCGGCCTGGATTTGAACCAGAGCGACCTGCTCGCTGAGAGGCAGCAGCTCTACCAACTGCGCCACCGTGCTGCCTTGTTTTTATTATAATAAAATAATTTATTAAAACATTATTAACCAATATTTAATTAAAATAAATTGTACAAATCTTTGCTAAGCAATAAAACAACAGCGGTCTGCAGTCTTACCCATGATTGCAGTTTTGAGTAATGAACAAGGCTGGGAGATTTTAAAAGCCTCAGGAATCTTTTGCAGGTGTTTAGAGTTACGTCGTTGATTCAGATGGTTAGGTTAATAGCTTGTTTAGAGAACCTTTTCATGATATGCTCATTTTTTGGGACAGGCATTTTGGGTTTTCATGAGCTGTATGCCATAATCATCAGAATTAAAACAATTAAAGACCTGAAGTATTTCAGTTGGTGTGCAATGAACCTGAAATATATGAAAGTTTCATTTTTATCTTTACATTATGGAAAATAATGACCTTTATCACAATATGCTAATTTTTGAGAAGGACCTGTACAAACTTCAGACACCCTAACCATGGTGACTTTTAGGAAATGTTATTGTTGATTTATGCCATATTATTGTACATTATTGAGGCTTTTATTTGAAGGTGGGCCATGGAAAATATCTGCTTCCAGCCCTGGAGAAGGCCAAACACTGTGGACTGAAGTTGTCCCTGCACCTTTCAGAAGTACGACCTTTTAAAACTTTTTTAAAGTTTTGTAGCCCTGTAATGTGCACGAGTTGTTAAACAGAAAGGTGTTTGCAGGTTCCCTCCCAGCTGGAGGAGTCAGACTTGCTGCTCAATCTTCCTCCTGACAGGATCGGTCATGGAACCTTCTTACATCCTGAAATGGGTGGATCTCAACACCTTGTTGACAAAGTGGTGAAAAACAGGATACCCCTCGGTAAGACTCAGGCTGCAATCTGAAATAAAGTGCAAGAACATCTATGCAGGCAAAAAATTTTTTAAATTCTTTATTTTCTCCTAGAGATGTGCCTGACATCAAACGTTAAAGGACGAACGGTGCCAAGTTACTCCCAACATCATTTCAGGTACTGGTACCAGTTGGGACATCCAAGTGTGATCTGTGTAAGTTTAATTTCTGCACTCTTACAGCAAGAACAAACTTTTTCTTTCTTCATATGCATTTACATCCCCAAATTGGAATCATTGTAATAAAATCTTGTTTAAAATATATTTTTGTTTACTTAAACGTCTTCAGACTTCCTTACTATATATATATATATATATATATATATATATATATATATATATATATATATATACATATATATATATACATATATACATATATATATATATATACTATACATATAGTACTATATATGTACTATATTCATTAAATATCTAACTTTTGTAGGAAAGCGTTTGCTAAAATCATAATTTCGGTTTTAAATTTCACTTCTGAAGGTTGTTTGGTTTGTTTTAAACAACAAATGTGTTTATATCAAATTGTTCATTTCACTCTTTGGTTTAGGTTTATTTAAGGAGCCAACATCTCCCAACGTTTTTTAATTGATTTTAGTTTTAATGAGAGTTTGCAGCTCATCCTGAAACCTAAAAATGACTGTTTTGAAGAGAAAGGAGTGAGGAGTCTTGTGGAGGAGCTTGTTACATTTAATAAATAATAATGACACAGGTGGCACACATTCTGTCTGATGAAATGTTTCCTGTGAAGGGAAAAAAGCTAAATCAGCAATAAAGCCTGACTTGTTGTTCTTCGTCTCGCTCCAGACTGATGATAAAGGAGTGTTTTGCACAGACTTGTCTCAGGAGTACCAGCTGGCTGCGTCTACGTTTGAGCTCGGCCATGAGGCAGTATGGAGGCTGTCCCAGCAGGCCATAGACTGGGTCTTTGCAGACGAAGCCCTGAAACAGCAGCTGAAACAGAAGTGGAGTGATCTACGGCCACAGGTGCTCAATTTACCTGTTCAGAAAGTTTAAATGCAGGCACCTTAAGTTTTAATAGTTTTTAATTTACAAACATGTTTTTACAATTGTTTGTAGAATTGACTTTATTTAACAAAACTAAAATACAATGAAGTGTTTGACACGAATAAAAAGTTATTTATTCAATACAGTGGGCTGAAGAGTATTAACTGTGGCTGATTTACACTTTACTGTAAAAATGAAAAAAGATGAATTTTATGGATAAACATTTGTATCTTCACGTGAGTGCAAGCCATTTGTCTGGTTACGACTTCACTCTGTCACGCCTTCTTTCCAAACTTCCCGTGCTTGTCTTTGTTCTTCTTGAATTTTCCATGCTGCATGTCCTTCTTTTTTAGCTTCTCTTGTGGAGGAGCCCCAATATTTGTTGAGCCCCCTTCCCACTTTCTCTTCTTGTCACTGTTGGGAATATCAAAACATGAGCAACGCGTTGCTACAACAGCCACTCTTCTCTGTTTCTATCCTGAGCAACACTCACCTTTTGATGCTGACAACACCTGTGCTCCCAGCGTTCTTCAGCACCTGGTCCCACTCCTCATCATCTCCACGGATCTTGTACCTGAGAACACACAAACCAAGACAAATACAGTAAACGGCTCTTTGATTCAGAACTTGCCACATAATGACCAAAGTCCACTCTTCTACTCACGCCTCCAACTTCATGTCCTTCACTTTCTCTAGATCCTTTTTGTGCTTTTCATCAAACTCTTTGGCAGCTTCAGTCTGTTGGTCAATCAAACATACATGCTGGTAACATGCGCTCATTTAATTATGTCTTTTTTAATGGCACTTACTTTATAAACTGACAAAGATGTTACAATAAATTTGTTGTTTGAGATAAAGCTTATGTCCATGAATAAATAAATCAGTGGACTGCTTTAAAAGTACAACAAAATCAAATCATACACTCCATGTTTGTAATGTCTGTTCAACAGCAGGCCAGCTAAATGAAGCCGCTTCATTTCTAAACAAAAACATTAGCTTTAGGGTTTTAGAACATCAAAACAGATTTACTCTGAAAGTACTTGTGCTGATGGGTTGTGTGGAAATGCAAAGTGCTAGTGAAGCTTAAACATTTGATTTTAATGACACAAAATCAGTCTCTGTGACTTGTTTTCACAGCGTTAGGAAGTCCATCTTCTTGATGGAAGATACATGTCTAAGGAGGTCCAGTGAATAAAGAGATTGATAAAACTATTAAGATAAAATAATCCTTTAGAATTTGAAGCATGTAAGATAGGTCATCAAGCAAGGAATCACCTCTAATATGAGGGATAAATGCAGAGTCCATTTTTATATTAAAAGGTTAACTTGTTCCTGTGCAACAGAACTGAGGGACCGTCTGCGCTTCAGACGGGGTTAGCTTTTATAAAAGAAAAACTATTTACTTTTTCCTCCTCACTGTTACTTTAAGGCCAGATTGGAGACTACAGTGACTCACCATCATTCTTTTTCACTTTTAGTACTTTTACTGCATGCTTTAGTATTTCTTGTTTGTTTTTAGTGAGTCGAACCAGTTCTTCTCATCCTGAACGTTGACCTTGTGTTAACCTGCATATGACAAACAATAACCTAGGTGGTAAATGGACTGTATTTATATAGACTTTCTATCTTATCAAGATACTCAAAGCTCTTTACACTAACCCGTGTCTTCATTTACCCATTCATACAGCACTCTAGATCTCTACAAACACTAATCAGTTCAGTTTATTTATATAGCACCAAGTCACAACAGAAGTCCTGTCAGGGCGCTGAACAGAAGTGCTGCTAAGCAGTGGTTAGCACACAGCATCAGTAGATAACTCTGCAATACTAGATGGATGTGTCAGCAGTCATCTTTTTTGTATTTTGTTTAGTTGTTTTGAATAGATATTTCATATTGCTCCAATGCGCCCTGCATTTACAAGATTTTCTATTTTGTTTGACATCTGTGCTCAGACAGCAGCTGATTATTTTCTGTAGCAGAGAGCAGAACGGGTGAAAGACTGTGTTCACATACCAGATCTTCATTAAGGCTTTTGACGGTTGGATCCATTGTAACATCTTTAGAGTCTACCATTTCAGCTTCAATAGCTTTTTCTTGGATGCTGGTGAACGCCTGGTAAAAAAAAATAGAAACGACAAAGCGCTCGTTAGAGAAGCCATTCAAATGACAGGATGAGCAACACGTTTGTTCAGCAGCGTAAACGCACTTGCACAAGTTTACGGATCAGACGGTTGAAGAGACCCATGAGCTGCGAGCTTGGGAGATCGAGTTCTTTTTCCAGCTGGTCCACAGATTTGTGTTGTAGTCCAATTCCCAGCAGTAAGGCCTGGAGAAGGAACGGCCAGCCAGTCAGCAGTGAGAACAACGTGCTCCATAACAACAGAAAGAAAGATCTTGGCTTCAGGAGAAACGTACACATTGTGCTGCTGAGATGGAGATGTCCCCGAGCTGTCTGAGGAAGAAGATGCGTGCCACTGCTGGGACCAGGTCCATGATCAGGTGGTAGTCCACCATGTTCCTGGAATACAACTCCAGCCGTTTGAGGTCGTACGGGGTGAAATGTGTTGCCAGCCCAGAGCTGCTGACGGCTGTAGAGATCAGAAATGAGTCAGACCAGCTGTGAAGTCCTGTGACTAAAACCTGAGCTGGTTAGTCCCCAAAAACAACTTACTGGTGGCTTCCTCCTTGGACTTCTTATTCTGCAAAATGCTTAGTGCCAAGCTTGGATTAAAGCCACTAAACTTGTAGGAGAGCAGAGACAGGAAGCGCCGACGAAAATCTAAAGAAAACAAACTCCTGTTTAGACGGAGCGCAGCGGGTCTTTCCTCAGGTGAGGCAGCTACTCACCTTTCCAGAAGGCAGACAGCCACTGACTCTGCTCTGCAGCCTCGTCTGTGTTCAGCTCTTTTAGCATCACACACGAGTGCTCTCCAGTCAGGTCATTCTGGACGCAAAGGCACACGTCACTGATTAGAGTGTCACAGCAACACAACAGACACAAAATGACGGATAAATAACACTCACAGCTGTTTGTCTTAGGTAGACTGGAGTATAGCCTGCCCTCTTCCAAAATCTGTCAGACAGCAAACAAGTTTGAACACGCGACTCTTAAATGATCCAAACCTCCTCCTCTGTACTGAACTGACCTGAGCAGCTGTGCAGTGAGGCCATAGGAAACTCCTAAATAGTCCAGCTTCTCCGCTCTCCTCTCGCTGAGCTTCAGCAGCAGAGGAGGGAGCTCTTTTCGCGGCGTGATCATCTCCTCCAGCAGACTGACGGCCTGAACGAGAAAGTTTCTGTCAGGGAAACGTGTCCCCTTAACAAAATGAAACCAGACAGTTGGAAACGTTCTGTTTGACCTCGCTGCTGACAGAGGTGATTTCACTCTGGTTTGGTTGAACGCTCTCATCCATGGTGGGGAACTTGCCCTCGTAGTACATCTGCAGGAGCTGGAGAGCTCTGGAGCCGTAGCCCATCTGTTGGGACAGGACGGAGTTAAACACGACGCTTCTCCAGCCAAGAACTAACGAACAGGAACTTCCCCGAGGATCTAACATCCCTGACACACTCAAAGTCTTGAACCAGGGCCACAAGAACTAAAACATTGTTGATAAACCTCGTAGCATTTTGAACCGTCTTGTTTTATCGTGTGAAAGATAAAAATGCTATGCAGGAACAGTAAATCTTAACTGGCTCACCCTCAATGTTTAGACTTGATGTTTCTTCAACAGAAGCAAACAGCTTTCTGCTGCAGCAGGAACTCAGGCAGGAAGTGGTGCAAACGTGACGTCAAAATGTCCAAAGTCATCAGTTGGACGACAAGAACTACCATATTTTTCTGCCTGTAAGTTGCGGGTTTTTTTTGCATAATTTACATGCCCTGCGACTTATACACTGAACTGACGTATTTGTTTTTTTTTTCATATTTATAAACCAATTTTTGACCGAGTTATGACTGTTTTCACTCATTCTGACTGAAAATATTGAAAACTACTATTTTCAGCCACTAGATGGCACTCAAGTAGTATGGCATGCCGTTGTGTCGTGTAATAGGTAAAAGTGGCTATTAATGACACAATCGGCTTGCCACAGCTGCCACCTTCATCCAGCTGCCTGGAGCAACCATCAAATCAGTTTCATTTCACTGCGCCGCCACGGAGAAATGCAGCTGATTTGACCATTGAAGTGAATTTATTAAGGAAAGTTCAACAGAGACACATATTTACTATAAAGTGGAGCAAACAAATAATTGTTTTAGGTGGTTATCTTGTTAAATTTTTAATAAATGTACAGCGAGTCCTCCCGTGCACGAGCCTATTTCCATGTATTGGCTTTTGAAAATGCAGCTGATTTGACCGTCAAAGTGCATTTATTAAGGAAAAGTTCAACTGAGACACACCTTTACTATAATTTAGAGCAAACTAATAATTGTTTTTAAAAGTGTTAATCTTGTTGAAATCTTGTTAAAGTCCTCCCGTGCACGCTCCCGTGGCCGCCATTTGGCAGCCAATCAATTATTGGCACAACACCGGCCCACATTTGCAGGTTGTCAGCGGTGACGCGTAATAAATGTGAAGCAACATATTTGTGGATTTTTCCACTTTATTAGACATTTTTGGACTGATGCGACTTGTAGGGCGGTGCGACGTGTACGGTGGAAAATACGGTAGTAGGATTAAGATGATGTGCTGCTGTCTTTTACCCTATTAGGAACGTTTTATCTCGTTTATGTCTGAGGCTATAATTGCGTAAATAACATTTAAGTGCATTTGATCAAAGGAGACCAGCTGTACAGTACAACCAGTTTAAAAATAATACTCAGGTTTGTACAAGTTCTTACCCCTTGGTAGTCTGGATTGACAGCAATTCGCACCACTCTGCCTCCAGACAGGCTGCCAAAATCTGGATCTTGAAACTGTGATGGTGCAAGCAGAGGATTCATTGTTTCACTGTCAAAACGTGAGCAGCGACGATGCCGCAGAACACTTGAGAACCGTCGTGTACCTGTTCTGACACAGTCCAAGGTATGAGGTCGCCGGAGGCCTTCCTCCCTCTGGACAGACTGTTGAGGATGGACTGTCTCGATATCTCTCCCTCCAGACAAACCTGAGGAAGCACGGAGGGGTCAGAACAAAAAGCTGGTTGAGAAGAGCATCTCTACAACGTTGTGGATCACCTGCACCACAGCGAGGACTTCAGGCAGCGAGTTCTGTGTGGGAGGAACGGGCGGCAGGAGGCAGAAGAGATGATGAGCCGGAGCATCGGAGAGCATCTGCAGGTCGTTGGGGGAGTTCTGGAGCCCAGAGAAACGACGAGTCAGCAAGAACACAGACAGCACACAACAGGAAGTGTAAATATACACTGCAAAAAGAAGAGATCACCTTGTAGTGTGACGCCACGTAGAGAGCCATGAGCCTCTGCAGAAATGCTTCTGATGCTTTGTGGTAACAGAAGAGTGTGTCTCTGTTTACGTAATAACTGGGAGGTAACCACTGAGGAAACCAGTTTCACCTGGGAGTGACACATCGCTGACAACTTACACGTTACATCAATTCATCGGTTACTGTCCATAAAAAGACTTGAGCCTGACCAGTGAGTGATCTCAAAATAAAAAATCTGATTTTTTTTAAAGAACATGAACACACCGTCGCAGCTAGTTTGCACCAGGAAGAGGTTTTCTGTGTAGGAGATTGTAAACACCCTGAAGATTCTTTAAAATTAGTTATTGTTCTTTCCAAATACAGTATGTTAGACACAAGTATAATTTAATTTAAATTGAAACCTTGCTGGGAAAAAAAACTGTCTGGTAATATGATACAATTTTTAAGTTTTGAGGATATCAAAATGAGAGAAAGATAAAAAGTGCAAGATTAAAAAAAACAAAAAGTTATCCCAATAAAAACGGTGCAGTTTGAAAGCATAACTTGAATAGTTGAAATTCTAAAATGCGGGTCCACACTTACTTGTCAACAAAATACTCGTCTGAAGCCACCAAAAACTAAGTGGAAGCACGAGTCACGACTGACCCACGTCAACATTTGACCTTTAGGAGTCTGGTTCAGAAAACCAGATGCACACATTTTAATTTTCCGTTTCCTTTTTTGGGCACAGACACCTCCGTCTAATCTGGAGGATTTTATTTGTACATTTTTCCACTGAGAGAGAGAAAGAACATTTATTTGATGTTAGTTGTTGTTAAAAATGACTCAAACTGGAATAGACAGATGAGATTTAAAATCTGCTGACAATAAGCAAAGTCTGTTGATTTACTAGTTTGAGCCTAAAACTATTTGTGAAGAAATATTTCTTCCTTTTTCGACATTTCTTAATCAACACAACTAATTTAGTCATTATGGGCAACAAAAGAGTGAAGGATACAGGTCACAGGTCTGTGGAAGCGGGCAGCCAGAGATGAGTCTGGGAATGTTGAGACAGTCGAGGCAGAGCAGCTCGTTCAGCCACTTCTCCACGGGGTCTCTGGGTGCGTAACGGATGGACTCGTGCAGAGACGCCTCGTGCAGCGTGCGAGCTGTGTGCAGAGACGGGTAAACGACAGTCAGACGACAGGAGCGTGCTCGGGACGCTCAGAGAAGAGACGTTAGTGGCAACCTGCTGCGAGCCTGGCGGTGTTGGTGACCCTGTTCTGTGCCGACATGCTCTGCTGGCTCTCTGCGCTCTGCTGCTTCAGCTGCTGGATCAGCTTGAGGGAGAGCGAGCGCCCGGTGCCTTCGTACCTACGAACAGCCAGCCAAACCATCAGTGGGGGCGGGGTCACAAAAAGACAACATCTAAACATTATGGTGAAAACTGTGTTGTCTTTAAAGTCCACAAAGTTCTGACAATGAATATAACGATTACAGAAAAAACAGCAAAAACAAAAAAAAAAACTTCCGTTATTTTAACCTTATTGGTCAACATATTTATAATAATCAGGTTTTGATTTTTCATTAGACTCTAAAAGACAAAGATGGGTGATAATGTTTTTGCTCATGTGTCTTAGCAAAGTATTGCACGAACCACTGAACAGACTTTATTGAACCTCTCAGAAAGTGATCACTGGACGCACTAGAGGCGCCATTTCTAACCTGGGCCCGAAGCTCGGCCCGGGTCAGTGTCGGGCTTTTGGCCACGATCCAATTATATGGCAACATGGCTTGCCGTACTGCACCAGCTGCATGTAGCCATTCCACCGCGAGCTGACCAGTCTTGAAAGAGGTAAAATAAGTTCAGTTGAGCTTCAGATGGAGTGTACTGCCAGGAAGCGATCCATCGTCCAAGTAGACGCTCGTTCAGCCGCTGCACTCAGCGGACGCGCAGCCGACGACCAAAACAGGTGACATCCCAAAGCAGACATGTCAGAGCATGGTCCGGCTCTGAATAATGCAGAGTGCAGGCAGAAGCAGGGATTTAATGCGCTTTGACGGCCATGAAAGGACAAACACCTTTTCAGCTCCGATCTTGTGCCCCTTTTACGCAGCTGCACGCGTCCGCCGACCGTTAATAACTATATATTATATAGCAGTCATAGCTTAATTAAAAATGTCAGGGGGTGGGTGTTTCGGGTTCAGACCAGTAATTACTGTTAGTTCGTCGGGTCGGGTGTGGTTCAGAAATGATGGCTACGGGCTGGGGTCGGATTTTTTGGGGCCTGAATGCAACTCCAGTGAACGTCTAAGACTTGAACGCTTGTGTCAACACCGTTTCAAATGGCTGCCACAGCGAATCACAAAAATTAATGTACAGCAGTCCCTCGTTTATCACGGGGATCCATACCATGAAGTACAGTAGTCCCTCGTTTATCACGGGGGATCCATATCCTGAAGATAAGTAAAAAAAAACCGCTAAGTATGAAAAACCGTGAAGGGAATAGCAGTACAAGTAGTTTAGTATATATATATACATATATTAATTTTGTTTTAAACTCTTCCCACACTCTTGCAATATTCTAAATGTTTCTAAACTCTAAACGCTCTAAAAGAGCACAGCATGTCATGATTTCAGCTCCTTGGCCACGCCCACTTCTCCCTGGCAGAGCAGAGGTCTTGACACATACAGGAGGAAGTTTCTGCAGCTGTGGGCTGCACAAATGTGCCACAGGGGCTAAATAATTTAAGATAATTTATTTTAAATAAAAATCCCATGCTGATCGTGCGGCTCATCCATCAATCAGCCAACTGTGTATCATGTTTAATCCTAATTTGAAAAACCGTGATGGAGCGAGACCGTGACAAACGAAGCGAGAAGTAGCGAGGGACTACTGTAACTTGTTTATTCTCTAGATAATGACCTAAAATTTGTCGTAGCAGTACCTGAAAGTCATCCTCAACACATTCTAATCGTTACATCGCATGAGATTAATGATTTTTTTCACGGCGTGTACAAAAAAAGGAACGGCTCCGTTTCTTAAGGTGACTTTAGTTAAAAGCATGAAGAGGCAGGCAGTTTGCAGCACTTCGATAAATGCTGAGCTTTTAATTTAGTCTTTAGCGTCGCTGTCAGGATACAACGAGCCTCTGTTCTCAACACTGACCCGTTGATGGTGGAGGCCATGAAGACGAGATAAGGCCCCAGCAGATTCTTGACCAGAGGAAGAGGGATGGCCGCAGCCTCGTCAATGACCAGCAGCTCAGCTTGGCCCAGCTTCACTGCATCTCCGGGGTGGATGTACTGTCAGACAGGAAACAAAGGTCAAACTCCACTTCTCAGAAACCGCAGGAGGAAAAACGGGCGCGCTCGATTCCATTACCTGGATCGTCTGCCGGTGCTCTTTGAAGACGTTCACTCGCACCACAGCTTTGCTGAATTCAGGATTCAAAGACTGGATGATTTCGTAGTCGTGATGCTCCTGCGGATTTAAACACGAAGCGGTGACGTCGTCGCAGCATCGACAGTTTCATTCTCAGGGAGAAGGTGTGAGGTGTACCTCGTACTGCAGCGCATCGAAGCCTTTGAAGATGAACTCGAACATGGTGTGAAGGTTGTCTGGGCTTGGCGAGGTCACGAAGATGTTCGAGTAGCTAGATGGAAAAAACAACAGACACTAACTGGTGAGAAAAGATGACAAAACAGAGAAAAGCTGAAGAATGGACTTCTGTGACATCATTAAAGTAATCTGTACCCAAACGCCACCGCTGCAGCGACAGCCAGCCCCATAGCGGCAGACTTGCCTCGGCCTCGGGCAGCGGTCAGAGCCACGGTGCTCCTCAGGGTCTTCTCTGAGATGGCTTCGATGAACTTCAGCACGGCCTTGGCCTGCAGGGAAACACAGGGCGTCCATGTTCAGCGGATCGCACCATTTATCAGAACCACCTGCGTTAAGCAGGTTCGTAGGGTGTGAAAGGCGCTGACCTGGTCCATGGTTTTGCAACAGTCCACCAACACGCCAACAGGCTGCGTGTCCTGAAGGGACTCTTTCAGCTCCTTCAGCTCCAGGTCTCGAGGAGATAAACCGTCCTCCTGAGGGAGGAAACAATCCATCAGTTTGCACTGCACAAAAAACGTTTCCTTCCTGTACACGACAAACTTGAAGTATGTCGTGTGATGTCGTTACTGCAAAATCATGCTACATGTGTTAGTGCTTGGAGTATGTGCTGAGGATGACTCAGCTACTACTAGGCCTGTCACGAGAACAAGTTTTGCTGGGTGATTAATTGTCTCAGAAATTATTTTGATAAACGATAATATTGTTTGAAATTTAACAATAATTAGTAATTACTGTTAAATTTTAAAAGAAAAGTTTTTTTTTTATTTTTGTGCGGAGTACTTTTTTTTGACCACTGGATAAAAACCAAAAAATGGATAGTGAGGGAGCGAGCAGCTTGTCTCCTTAAGAAAAAATGGGAGGGAGGCCCCTTGACGTGACATGGGCTGTCTCTCTTCAGTTCTCAAAATGGCGGACGCTCGGTGTGGTTTGAGATCTTTAGCATTTTTCACACAAAGATTTTAATAAAAAAAAAAATCAGTGAACAAGTTCTCAGCTTCTTTTTGCAGAGAAAAACTTTTTACACAAAGGCACGGGTTTCAACTGTGACTATTGAGCTTTGACAAGACGGAGGTTTTTCCCCGAGACCGGCCTGCTAGCTTAGCTTCTCAGCTTAGCTGCTTTTAACGATCCAAAAACACAATTTTGAATGGTTCAATGGATTTTAAAGAGAAAGGGTGGGGGTGGGGGGGTCAGTGAAGAGCACCGGAGTTGAGCCTTTTGTCATCCAGGGTCTTCAGTAGAAAGAGAGACACGAAGAAACGATAAAGCTGATAAATGAAAATTATCGACCTAATTTTCATTTATCGTGATTAATTGCGGGCAGCACGGTGGTGCACTGGTAGAGTTGCTGCCTCTCAGCGAGCAGGTCCCTGGTTCAAATCCTGGTCCGGGGGCCTTTCTGGGTGGAGTTTGAATGTTCTCTCTGGGTACTCCGGTTTCCTCCCACAGACCAAAAACATGCATGTTAGACTGATTGGTAACTAAATTGTCCCTAGGTGAGAGAGAGGGTGAATGGTTGTCTCTTTGTGTCCCTGTGATGGACTGGAGACCTGTCCAGGGTGTCCCCCGCCCCTCGCACAGTGATTGCTGGACATGGGCACCGATGAACCCCATGACCCTAAATGGAAGAAGCTGGTAAAAGATAATGGATGGATGTGATTAATTGATTTATTGTTTGTCACGACAGGCCTAGCTACTGCCACAACAAATTATTAGCTCAAGTTCTGTAAAGTTGATAAGCACCAGCATTTTTGTGTTTTCTAAGACTGATCAGCTGTGGGGGCCATCTTGAAAATACACTCAGGCATTTATCTGTTTTCACCCTTTTGCCTTTAGATGTGGGCAACAATGAGGAAACTAAACTAAATACAACTCAATGTACGTTTATTGTATCTATTTCTGACGAATGCTTGTCTGATGGACTGAACAGCTGCAGCACAGATACCTGAGTCTTTGGGGGGACCGGCTTGATGTTTGCCATGTGGCTGGAGATCGGCAGGATGTTGAGCTGGTCGTCGATAACGACACAGTTTTGGCAGGATGCGAGGGACAAAATGAACCTGTGAACACAGATACATATTTATTCCATTCAAACTTACGTCCTGTAAGAAGAGTGAGAAATACCAACCTCTCATTGAACCTGCCCACCACGTCATGATGAGCCTCAGTCCTGTATCGAGTGTGCACATCCTGGGAGAATAAATAAATACATGAAGGACTGCTTTGGTCGTCTGTGAGATGTGGAAGTCAGTGGAGTTTAAGACGTACCATAGTCATGGTGTAAAGCTGCTTCAGAGACTTCATCGTCCGGAGGAGCAGGACCACTAGACCCCCCCCTTCCACCGTCTCGATAGTTCGTGCCAACAGGTTGGGAGTGAGAGCTTCAAAATCCTGAGTGACAGATTAAACAGTACATGCTGAACAGCTTCTCTCACTACGACCAGGACAACCTCAGGTCAAAGGGTCCGAAAAAGTTTCACAGAAAGTTTTTTTTTTGGGAAAAAATAAAATAAAATCTTTCAGTGCAGGAATTTTTCTCCTGGATCCACGAGCAACTCAAACATTTGGAGTTCAACCACCGACCTGTAGGACGCACATGCCGAAGGTGTTCCCCAGGATTTTGTGCGTCTCGTTGTAGTAACAGTAGCGGATGTTGGTCGCAGCGATGAAGAGCTCAAAAGGGTCGTCCTGGTTCAGGTTCAACGTCCCACTTTTGATCTTCTTCTGCAGCTTTCTCATGCGCTTCTTCCGGTTGCTGTTTCAGACAAAGTGAACATATCACAACTCTAAGCTCCTTTCCACCTCAGCACATGGCAGTTGTATCCCTCTAGGTGTGTGTGTAGCTGGGGTGGGGTGGGGTGGGCACCCACCTGCTGAAGCCCAGGTCTTTCTTGTAGCACCAAAGTACTGAGGGTCGAGCTCTGACAGCAGCTTTAGACAACATGTGATGAAGAATCACCACCTGGACCAGAGGCAGACTGGGGTGAGATGAAAAACTAAAATCACTTTCTGCCTTTGACAGCAAGAGCCGACTTACCTGATCTCTCCCACGATCCCCCACCACCACAAACATGCTCCGGTGCTGCAAGGCGACTCCATTCTCAATCTGGACCCGAATCCGGTTGTCTACCTTCTTACGAACTGTCGCCATTTTCCTGCCAGAAACGGAAGGCGCATAAATAACAACAACAAAAAAATATCTAGAGAAACACACACACACGTGAAAAAAACCTTACAGCTACTTAAAATGTCAACAAAGGAGCGCAGCACGATAAAGACAAACAGCGGAAATAAACACGTAATTTAACATTACCTTTTATTTAACTGTGGAGGAGTTATTCACGAAAATATGTCCAAGAAGAGGCTGAAGCTACACACACAAGAACATCACGATGTTGATAAACTCACGTGCAGACGTCAGTTCATGAAGGACCCCTGAGTGACGTCATAAACGCGCGACGAATGAGGCAGGTCGTTGTAACATATAATCAAGCAACGCTCGTATCTCCAAACTACTTTATCTTGATAACATTGTTTAGCTAGTTAGGATAAAATATGAGGAAAAAAAACTTTTCTAATTTATATTTCAATTACTTTACGAGTGTCTCGGTATTCTTTAAGAATCACTGAGAAACAAGTTGATAAAAAGTTTGACTTTTAGAATTAGTAGTCATTAAAGATGTCTAAAAGACAGTTGTTAAAGTTTCCTCTGGTGTCAACCTCATATGACTTATTCTTCACTGTATCATCTTTATTCTTGTACTGTCTTTGACATTACCTTCTTTTATCTTCCATTTGTATTTGTATTCCCATTTTCCATTGTGTATTTAGTTGATGTTTTTCTTAGTTCATATCTTAGATGTTATTACTGTTTTTCTTATACATTTTATTGTTGGATGTAACTGGGACCCTGTGTACATAATTTCGCTCCACCACATGTACCACATGAGGTGCGAATGACAATAAAGAAACTCTGACTCTGACATTTGTATTGCATCATGTTACAAATGTCTGAAAAATAAGTTCCTTTCTACTCTAAAAAGTTTTTAAAGTATGCAAAACTCCCTAAATATTAATCAAATGTTTATACAATTAATGCAGAGCAATGTTACCATTAGTTCAAGTAAATGTAAAATTCCATGAGTTAATTTATTTTATTTGGGCTGAAACTGTTGGAACTAAAATTTATTCTGATCTATTAAAACTGACAAGTAAAAATTCGCTTTTTTAAATAAATTAACTAAAAGGCTTCTAAACAGTTACAATTATGTAACATTTTTGTTTTATAAGGGCATTTCTTAACAGATTAGGTTACACAAAAAAAAACTTTTTACAGATAATCTGTATTAATGAGAACTCAAAATTTTCAGTTCACAATAAAATCATGCCGAATCATCACGATGATCATACAGTTGCATTTCTAACTTTTTGTTAGCCAATGAACTAATCACATCAGATCAGAAGCAAAGCAGTTATATAAAGAGAGCAAGACAAGTTAGCTGTAATTTGTCAAAATGTTGTGGATCTAGTTGCACTTCATTTGACGTGAAAATTAACAGCTGGCTGTTCCAGAGGTTCCAGCTTTACATCTGGATATGCAGCAGCTTCCCCTGACAAACGACATGGAAACTATTTCAACAATAATTGAACTCGTTACAAAACTGCACCTCCAATATAATTTAAACTAAATGTTGCTTTTTAAAAAGCAAAGTATTCTACAGATAATATTTGGTAGCGCACACTAGACCATTTGCCTTGCAAATAACTAGATTTAAACCACAAAGGAAAAAAACACTCAGAAATGTGATTATGCAACACAACTTTATTAAAACTTTTGAAGCGACATCAATTTACAAATAAGGAAACGGGAGCTCGTTAAACAAAAATAATTTCTGTTGAACCAAAACGAGAAAAAGTAACCAAGAAAGGGAAGGGCCTCCCATGATTTGAACCAGCAGTGGCCTGTGCGTTTTTTTTTTTTATTAATAAAAAAAATATATATAACCTATGAAATCTTTCAAGTTTACAGGAGTATTGGAGCACATGGCCTGTGTGACCCAATGATTGGATCTACAGCTCGCCTTGTGTTTTAACCTTTAAATTGTTTATTATTTTTTAAATAAAAACGGGCATGAACTTGGATTGAAGGAATAAAAGACTGATGGAGAACAAATAGAAGAAAGCAAAAAGTGAGCTGGGGCTAATGCATTCATGGGTTTTAATTTTTCAGTGTGGTGCAGATTCTTCAGTCACAGTCACGATTAAAGGCCATTTCAGGATCGCATTGCTTGAGTGCTTCCTCTCGAGACTCCTCTGGCTCCCTGGCTGGCTCCTCGCTTGTAGTTCTGTTGGTAACCGTCCTGGAGTAGGAAAGAATAAAAAGATGTTTTAGAAACTTTCAGAACAGTCTTAAGAAAACCAACATACAAAGACTTGAGCTTCCTTCATACCCTTTGATAATTTCCATTTGAGTAGTCACGAGGTGTGCTGAACTGGGTCTGTCCATATCCGGAGTTGGGAGTGCTGGCGAAAGCAGGGCGATAACCATCATAACCACCTGAAATAAAGAATGACTACTCTGTTAGACACGATGGACCCGTTAAATCTGAAAATTAACAAAAACAGAACTTCAAAACTTCTGTTGTTGCAGGTATTAATCAAACATAAAAATAAAAACATCCAAAGTACACGAATTTAAGGATTTCATAAAAAGCAACAGGACTTTTTATTCAGGTGTGTTGAAGATGTTTCATCTACCCGACACGCTGCTTCAGTTCTGGTGTTCTGTTGGGAGTAACAAATACAACTAGAATCACACAAATGCTGCTGATTATCCATGCTGCTGATCTCATGCTGCTGTATTCATTCATGCCCATCTGCTCAATACAGACTCATGTTCAGGCTGCTGTTTAATATCCCGTGTTATTAGTGTTTGTGTATATCTTAGATCCTTGTATACTGTATACCCTGTGTACACAATTTCGTTCCACCTCATGTATCCCATGTGATGCAAACGACAATAAAGAACCTTGAACCTAATGGGAGTTGTTGGAGTCCCACGAATCACGGACCCACCCATCTGTACTGTGAGTCTTTTGGGTCACACTTGTGAGTTGTTCTCCAGAGAGACCGACGTGTGAAGAGTTTCAGCAACTTGTCTCAAAGTTGTAATGGCTGTAAAACGGCCTGACAGGAGACATGGCTGCATGTAGGTGTTTGATGGAAACAGAGCATCCCTTGTGTTCAACGTGTTTCTCTGTTTCATGTTGAAGGCTTCCTTCACTACTCTCAAACAAAACGTCTTTGTCCAAAATGTTTACGCTACAGTCCTCAAGTGTCCCTTCTCTTTCATGTGTCCCCCTTCAGTTTCACAACCACCCTAAACTTGAAAAGTGACTAAAACCCTTGAACTCTGAACGTTCACAACAACCCAAACCACTCCGAGCTGGGGCAGGTGCGTCAGTGATTTACGTGACTGGAAATTTTACAACATACAGTCACATGGACACAGACGTGCTCATCTGGAGTCACTTATCAGATGTTAAGTTGCTTCTTCCATAAGGAGTGTCAGACCATTTCATCACTACATAGCAATGCTAGCGAGACAATTCTAACCCATGTTTACTGCTACAAATATTTAGTCCTAAGTGTCATAAAGAGGAGGGAAGATGTCAGCATGAAAGCAACAGAAGGGAGAGCAAATGTTCATTTTCACCTAAACTCGTTTGGTTTTGTTAAGAGCAATAAAAAATGATCCATAAGAAATCAGAATCTTTGTCAAACGATTATTTAACTGCTTCCATCTACTGTGAAAAACACGGCAAGCTTTAGGACGATATTTAATGTAAATATAACGTGTTACTAACTGCATTTACAATGAAAACAATAAAACATGTTCACATGCTAAATTGTAGGCCGAGGTCAAATTGTTTCCCACTCTCGGTGTACGGTGAAACCTTTTAAAGTTATAAAACCAACCACCATGGATCAGTTTTCTCATTCAAGACAAAAAACAGCAGATACTCCAACGGGAGCAAAAACAGCACAAAAGTTTACCAAGAGTCGCAGCTCATTATGTTTTAATACACAGAGAAACCATGATCACCAACTTTGTATAATCAATGATGAATCAACGGTCATTGTCCGTGCAGATGACACTTTAATCTAATTTTACATGTGAGAAGACGGAGGAGCAACACGGCAGCCCACCAGCACAGAAGGAAATTTAAAACTCAAAATAAACCCGGTGCATTAAATAACACACTGTGTTTGTTAAATAGAAAACACAATGATGCTAATTATGCTAGCATGCTATAGCTGGTGATGTAATTATAAAATCTTCCTCCTTTGACCAGAACCCTTTAGTATCTTGATGCATGCTCAATAATCCAGGTAGAAAAATTTAAAAAAGTTAAATCTGGTCCTCTGGACATTAAAAAAAAACCCAAAACAAAGCAAAACAACAAAAAATGTAGAAACGTTTCGTCTCTCGTCCGAGAGACTTCTTCAGTCTGAGGTGCTGT